CGTCTCTCCATGATGGAGACCTCAGGTGATAAGCGTGGTGTGTCTCTCCATGATGGAGACCTTAGGTGATAGATAAGTGTGGTGTGTCCCTCCGTGATGGAGACCTTCAATATTCTGCATCAGCATTTTGGGGTTTCCAGGGTGCAAATCCTGGGAATGTCTTGTTAGGGTTGTAACTGAGGATCTCATTACTTTTGGAGCTATTTTAAATATTCAGTTTTCAATTTCACATTGCTAACACAGCCATCACTGATCTGTGTGTTGACCTTGTTAAATGTAATTATTATCTGCTGCAATCCTTGAGGTTTTCCCAGTCCTGCAATGTGTGCACAGGGGTACAGCAATACTCCCTATCCACAAGGGATGCACTGCCACAGCCCAGGGATGCCTGAAACCACGTCAGCATGGAACCCTAAATACGCTGCACTTTCTCCTATGCATACGTTACTAAGATAAAGACAGGAAGATCAGATTTACTGAGATAGGGTCTCGCTATTTTGCCAGGTTGGTCTCGAACTCCTGGCCTGAGTAGCCAAGATTATAGGTGTGAGGCCCCACAGGCAGTGTCATTTATAAATTGAGGACAGTCAGTTGCAGTGAGTGGCTGTGTCGCATCTCAGGGGCCTCCTGCCGGCCTCCTGTGGCCTCCTGGACCACGCTGCTGCTCCCATGGTCTCACCCTCCACCCATAGGTCCAAGTGCTCCACACGCACCGTGGCTGCCACTTTCACAGTTTCATGAAAGAGCCTTTTGTTCCCTTCCTCACAATTTCATCCAGAGATTTGTTCCGACCTTAGATCTCAGCAACCTCGGCACACAATTTTCTTTCTACTCAAGAACGTTCATTCACCTTTCCACCTTGAGGTCACGGAAGCACTTGACGTCTTCTCTTTGGCAGATCTGAATCGCCAGCATCACACTCCTGCACTTTGGGCTGCCTACGTCAATTAAGGGCAGTCCGACCATAAGCACCTGGCACTGTGACAGTGGGTGGCTCAGGGGGCCTGAGGCCCAGCTGGACCGAGGGAAGAGGACACGCGCCTGGAGCAGGATGGCCGAGACTGCACCGCGCCACTCAAAACAGTGTGCAGCTCAAAACTTACTGTTTATCTCGGGAATTTTCCATGTAACATGTTCAGACCACAGGTGAGCATGGGTAACTGAAGCTGCAGAGAAGGAGACCTACTGTTTTCTTTCTTTTCCAATTTGGATGCCTTGTATTATTTTTTCTTACCTTATGGCACCGTCTATCTTGCACTAGTTTTGGTATTTTATGCCTTCCAAAGAGTTGGTCCATTTAATCCAAGCTGTAGAACTGATCTGCACAGAGGGTTATTTTTTGCAATACTTCCTTATTATCCTTTTAACATCCACGGGGTTTAGAGTGACATTTCTCTTTACATCCACGGGGTTTAGAGTGACACTCACTCCTCTTTATTGGTAACTGCATTTTCTCTCTTATCTTTGTATCTACTAAAGGTTTACCGATTTCATTATCTTTTCAAGTAATCACATTTTGATTTCATTGATTTCCCCTATTGTCTTAAAAATCAATTTGGGTGCTTTTGTTCTCATTTACTTTCTTCTGCTTCGGGTTTATTTTGCTTTTTCTCAAGCTTTTTAAAGTTGGAAACTTAGACTGAAAGTCATCTTCTTTTTGTAAAACAGCATTTAATCCTGTAAATCCCCTCTAGGCACTGCTTTCGTTGTGTCTCACAAATTCTGACATGCTGTATTTTCGTGTGTGTACAGTTTTTGAAAGTTTTGTTTTCTGTTGCTGATTTCCAGTTTAACTCCACCATGGCCAGAAAACTTACTTCGTATGATCCTGGTTTTTAAAAATGTGTTAAGGGCTCTTCTGTGGCAGGTGTGATCCATTGTGGTGGCTCGTCTTTGTGAGCTAAAATGGGGTTGTGCTGCTGAGGCTGCAGTGTCGATCCAGCCGACTGGTGGTGTCATCAGGCGCCCTGCCCTCGCTGATTTGTCTCTGAGGCTCTGTCACCAGAGGAGTGCTGGAATCTGCAGCGATGCTGTGATTCTGCCCGTTTCTCCAGCAGCGCCTTCAGTGTGCTGTGTCCAAAGCCTTGCTGTTTGTGCATACACGTTCATGGCATGATCTCTTCCTCAAGAGCCGCCCCTTTTCTAAAGCTAGAACCTTTTCACTCCTGCTCATTTCTTTGCTCCAGGTCTCCCTCGGCCTGAAACAGCCACTCCCACCCTCTTCTGAGGCAGGTTTTCGCAGCCCCTCTTCTGTCTTCCTACTTGTAAGCTGCCTACACCACAGCATCTACAGTGATGCTACATACGGGACACTGGTACCCAATTTCTGTGTTGAAAGTTAAACCCCAGATGTGAGGGTATTTGGAGATGGGGCCTGTGGGAGGTGATGAGGTCGCAAGGCAGAACACTCATGAACAGAATGAGTGCCCTTCTAAGGCTCCAGAGAGTTCCCTCACCCGCCTTCCTTTCAGCAGGAAGGCGCTGTCTGTGGACCAGGAGGGGGCCCTCACCAGACACTGAATCGAGCTAATCAGACTCAGTGATGTGATCAGTGCTCCCTTCCTGGTCCACAGACAGCAGATCTTGACCTTGGACTTTCAGCCTCCAGAACTGCAAGAAATAAAATTCTGTTGTTCACAAGCCACCAAGTCTATCACGTTTCATAACCATCCCAAATCAAATACGACAAATGAGCTTCTGGCAGACACCAGAGAGCTGGCTTAGTTTAAAAATCTATCCTCATACGCTGTCCTGACTGGTGCATTTACACCAGCCCCTCTGCTGATCAGTCAGCATTTAGGTGTTCCACTATTTGCTGTTTGCTGCCTCTGTTGCTCGTTCCTTACGGTATTTCTTCTTTCGGGCTTTCTTTTGGGCCACTTGAATGTTTTTGTATTTCATTTGAAATACCTATGACGACTCCGTGTCTCTACACACGAGCTCTGCAAGGCTGCTCAAAGGGTCGTCGCAGGCACCTTAACCCTGTGTGCTCGACGTGGCACCTGCACACACGCTTCCACTGGAGCGTGGCAGCTCTTCCACCTACAGCCCCACCGCCGCCACAGGCCCACCCCGCCACAGCTGTCCTGGGAACGGCACTGCACGGGCACTGGCGGGCACTGCCCTCGTCCTCTTGCACCATCTCTCGCATCTGCAGATGCTCAGGGGAAGGAGGGAGCCCTGCAGGGAGTCTGCAGAGCAGGTCTGCCGGCTGGGAGGGCTCTTGGTTTGGAGTGACTCTGGACACTGGCCGGATGTGGAATTCCGGGGTGACCATTCTTTTCTCCCAGCACTGTAAGATGCATGGGCTTCCGTCTTCCTTCTGGCCTCCTGGGTTTCTAACGAGCGCCACAGTTATTCACTGCGGCATCCCTTGTCAGTACAGGCCACACCGTCTGGCTGCTGACGAAGGACAGCTGCCAAGGGCTTTTTCTTTGCCCCCAGTTCTCAGCGTTTGGTTTGTGTACGTCTGCACGTGGCTGTTAGCCTTACATGGGGTCTGCTCAGCTTCTTAAGTCTGCAGGTTTGTATCTGTGGAAAGCTCTCAGCCATTATTGCTGCAGTGTGTTTCTGGTCCCACCCCCTTTCTTCTGAGTCTGACATCAACCTTTTTGGGACTGTCCTACAGGCCCCAGCATGGAGGACACATGCCTCAACCCCAGGGCCCTCATGCTACCAGGCAGACCTACTGGTCTTGCAGGTGACGAGTGGCCCTGACGCCCTCTGGGAAGCTTCTGTTTCTTAGTCTGAGTGGATTTCTGTCCCTTGGCTTGAAAGGATTCCTGGGAAGGCATTACATGCATTTAATTCACAGACATCTACTACCACCATGATGCTGGTTCCAGATGCAAAGGACCCTGGGTGGCCTAGGCCCTCCAAGGGGACGTAGGTCTGCCCAACTCCACATCCTATACTCCTCCAAGGAACCCCTTTTCCAAACAAACCCAGTGCCACAGAGCACCAGGAGCAGAGCCACTAGAAGGGTGCCAGGCCCCGCCTGCCCAGGAGCAGGGCCGCTTGGCCAGCGCTTGGCCACAGGTGGCTCCGGAGCCACAGTGGACACAAGGCTCTCATGCAGCTCTCGGAAACTGCTCTGCCACCTCAGGATCACCTCCACGCCTGATCCACAGAGGCCACCTCCATTTCACATTGAGCTTGCGCCCCTCAGGGTGATAAGCACTGTCCCCATCATCTTCCCGGGCTGGGCCTGGCCGTGACACCTCATCTTCCTGGGGAATTAAGAGAGTGAAGCCAGTTGTTGTCTGTAACTGCCCGTGTCAACCAGAACCAAACCCAGCTGTGACCTGTCGGGGCCATGAGGGCAGGGCCAGTAGGACTGAAGCCAAGGGGATGCCTGCCACCTGCCTGTGCAGAAGCTCCCTGTGGCTTCTTTAGGGGAGAACTCAGCTTTGTCTGGGGACCACGTCTCCCGGTACCAGGGCCAGGAAAGCCATGTCTATGGGCAGGATGACTTTCGGGATGCGCTCACAAGCCCACCTTCTGTCCCTGACCTGCGTGCACTGACAACAGCAGGACATCAGGGGAAGCTTCTGCCGTCCCCAGCCGCACACATCCCAGGCTGAGCCCAACCCAGCCTCCTCCTGCCTGCAGCCTCCAGCAACCCAGGCCTGGCAGCGCTCCTTCCTCTGCTACACAAGTGGGGTGCACAGGGCCACTAAGCAACACCCACCTACTAAGGAAATCAGGGCGTAGTGCTTCCAGGAGAGAGCTACCAGCACCAGGCCTGTCGCATAGTTGTGGAGATGGCACCTGGGCTCCCACGAAATGAGTGACAGAGCAAGGAGCTATGGCCTGCCCAGCCCAGCCCCCACTGTCCCTCTCGGGCCCACAGAGAGCTCTCACGGGAGCCAGCCAAGAGGGGCTCTCTGCAATCTTAGGGCATTCCCTTTGGAAACATCTCTGCCCCCAGAAACACACCCCATCAATCCCCACCAGCTCCGGCACCTCCCGGGCCCCACTGGGGACACAGCTGGCTGGGCCATTGGCCCCTGAGGGACAGGAGGTGGACGCCATGGTGGAAGGCCTGTGCTAAGACTTCTCAGCATCTCTAGGTGAGAACGGAGTCCAAGAGGACAGGAGCTTGGGGTGACAGGGGCTCCCAAGAGGAGTCAGGCTGTAGCCAGGCGGCACTCACGTGTTGCACACGGCCATCGTCTGACACGTCTCTCCTGTGCAGAACTCGGAGATGGTGCTATACTGCAGGTTGATGTGGTGGAAAAATGTTGTGGCTGGAAGAGAAGAGAAGGGGCCAGATATGAAAAACGCCAGGGCCGAGCCACCCCGTCCATCCCTGCTTCCAGCAACAGGTGCGGGAGCTCGGCTGGGGGAGCTCCACCAGTCCACGGGCCACTCTCTCCCCTTGCAGCAGTGGGCTGCTGAGCACCAGCTGTGGGGGTCCTCCTCGAGGACGGCCTTCCAGGAGGAGCGGGGAAGAGGGAAGGGGCCCACCCCCAGGCCCACGCGCACTGTTGCTGGCCAGCCACTCGTTAAGGTCAATCTCGCGGGGCAGCACCACCAGCTCCTTGAACTGGAAGTCGGTGATCCTGGCCTTGGTGTGCTCGGGCTCCAGGTAGGCCTTCCTCTCCTCCGCAGCAGGCTTCTTGCCATTGGGCTTGGCTTTAGACTTCCTGCCAAGAGAGGAGACATAGTGTGGTCAGTGTGCCCACCAAACCCAGGGCCTGCCCATGGGGTCACTTGTGGCAAGCGCAGGTGTAGAGAGAGCTGCCTGAGCCCATTGGGGCAACCCTGCCTTCCTGCCAGGCTCGTGGGGACACCAGCGGAGAGACTGCTCCGCAGAGGGCCGGCACAGCGCCTCCCGGGGAGGAAGGGCTGGCGCTATCACTTGTCATCACAGGGCCCTGCATGGAGGGCCTCCTTACTACCTCCTCCCACCAGGGAGGGCCCAGGGATTAGGACCCCCAGAGCGTAGCCTCCAGCTTTCCAGTGCTCTTGGAAGGAGAGGAGAAGCAAACCTTCTCACTCCTGGTTTCTTCTGAGTTGGCCGGCCTACCCCACCCCCGGTGGCCCCAGTGAAAACACACTGCAGGCCTTGTGTGGGGCACAGAGCAGGTACCTGCCTTCCTGACTGGCTATGAGCACCGGGCCCCTGGCATGAGGCGGCAGCCTGGCCTGCAGCTCCAGCGTCCCTGCTGTCCACCAGGTCTGGGGAAGCCACAGGGTGATGGGGACCAAAGGTCTATGCGGCAACCTGACCTTGTTCTTACTTTCTTCTGTTTTGAAAAGTTGGTAATGGTTTATTTAAGAGAAAGAGAAAGGAAAAATGCTCCCTGAATGCCAGGGAAATGTTTCCCTTTCAGCTTCTCACAGAAATCTTCGCCTTAAAAGGCGACAAGTGCAGGCCTTTGGGGGCAGTGCTGGGAGTAGCCAGAGCCAGGCAGGGAGCAGGGCCCATGGGCCCCAGGGCTCCCATTCTGCCCTCTCTCCAGAGCACAGGGCGTGGGGTCTGAGGAAGAGGAAGCGCAGGTGTGGATGGCTCACATGCAGCCTGGGTGCTTGGGGTACCCACAGTACAGGAGTGGGACAGACATGGACTTGAGCTTCCTTGCAGCCTGCAGCCCCTCTCCCGGACACAGCGAGGCACCCAGACTCCACACCAGCCTCTGCCAGGCCATGGCCGGCACATCCACCGCAGGGTAGGCTCTCTCCATGATGCTGGGCCTGACCCTGACCACCCGAGGGCAGGCCCAAGCCTCCCTGCCTTGTGATCTCATGGCACACCACAGCCCACCTGGGCAGCTACAGGTTGGCCTCAGCCTTCCCATTTGGAGAAGCAGATGCGGTGGGGACCTAGGCTGCCAGACAAGCTGCTGAACCATCTCTCTGCTCTGTGTCTTAGGAGCTGTGGCACCTTGCAAGCTCCAGGTGGCGGTTACCAGGAGGTCACGCAGGGCTGCCAGCAGGAGCAGCTGCCAGCATGCTCACTCTCAGGGTCTGCCCCAGGTCCCACTCAGGGAGGCTGCCCTACTGACAGTTCCTGCACTCTCGCCAGCCTTCCAAGCCGGAGCTACATTCCCCTCCAGTCCTCAGAGGGAGCTGGGCAGAGCAGACCCTGGAGACCTGGCTTCCCTCCAAGGCTCTTCTCCCAGGCTCTGGCTGTGGTCAGGAGGTATGGAGCAGCTGCCACTCCAGCACTGGCGCCTCAGCCTCCCTGCCTCCTCCCGTCTGCACCTGCTCTCCGGGAACACAGGGGCAAGTGTGCACCAGGCCCTCCAGTCTGGGCCTCCCCAAGCTGCTCCCCCAGTTTCACCCTGTCCCCAGCACCCAGGGCTGGCCAAACTTGGTGCACTGTGGGACAAGCCTCCTGCGAGCCCACCTTTCTTTGGACCTGGTCACTCGTTCCCATGGGGCAGAAGGATGGGCAATGGCCCAAAGGTAGCAGGTCCAAGGGGACGTGCAGGACACAGCCTCTGCTCCAGGAAGGGCCATGTGGGCACCAACAGAGGGACTTCCACAGGAGGCTACCGAACACCTGGCAGCAGCTGCATCTCTCTGATCTCAAGTGTCCTCCTTCCCAGAAGGGCAGGCTCTCGGTGAAGGCCCAGGCAGCCCACTGCGCAGTCCAAGCCAGCGGCAGCTGTTGAGGCCTCAGAGCACACGACATCCCGTGGCACCCTCCTCATCCTTAGTCATTCTCAGCTTTGCCCAGTGGAGAAAACAACTCTGTGGCACCCCCAGCCCAGCCTCACAGGCTCTGCACCATCCAGGCCCAGGGATTTCCCCAGGCATGGCCTCAGTGGCCTGGCTGCCCCTCACCTAGGGACATGCCAAGGTCCTGTGCCCTGCTCCCAGCTCCCCCCGTGCTGCTAGCCAGGAGCCCCAGTGCACAGAAAGACCGAGTCCCTGGACATGGAGCGGGGACTGTTGGAGAAGGCTCCGGATGCAGGCAGGACAGAGATGGCGCTGAAGGGACTGAGGAGTGGGTGCTGGACCTCAGACCACCCACAGGGCTGCCATACCTCTTGGAAGAAGCAGAGAGGCAGATAGTGTGTGCACACCCCCAGAACAAAGCCCCTGACACTGTTCCCAATCCAACAGGTAGGTTCTGAGCCTGGGCCCCACCTGGAAGGCATCATGCACTTGGGAGGGGCCGGGCCAGCCAGAAGCACCTCCTTCCTGCCTCCCACACACCCGCCAGCCTCACCTCCCTCCTCCCTGCCACCACAGGGGTCTGCACCCTGCTTGTGCATACCAGCTGCTGCTCTGCCAACTGGCCCATCGTATGCCAGGCCTGGCAAACTTCTCCTGGTCCTTTAAGAGCCCATCAAATGCCACCCTCCCCATTCTGGCCAATTGGCACTGTGCCAGTCAGCCTCCTTGGCAACCAGCATGTAACTGATCCCTACTGGGAAGTGGGGCAACCCCTGCTGGACACGAATTTGGCAGGTAGGGGAAGGGGCACAGGGAGGCATCAGCGCTGCTGGGCTCCATGGAGAGGACAGACCATGCAGTGACCACACAGGGGGCCTGCCTCACCCTGCCCACAGCAGGCACACACTGCTTCACAGGCAGGGGGAGCTGGGGATATGCTGGGAGCCCGTACTCCTCATCCGTCCTGAGGGATGAGGCCAGCACAACCAAGTGACCCACGCCTGTGCCACATGACTTCGATTTCATTATCACAAATGGAACCCTGGCCAGACCCCATGGCCCACAGGAATGGGGTGCTCCCAGGCTCACAGACCCCCCACTCGCCCAGAGCACACTTGCTATGGAAGTCAAGAGAAGGCTGCAGACTCTGAGGTAGGTGGGTGGCAGCAAGAGGTGGCCCTCATTAGGCACTTCCCATCACACGTCAACTCCAAGGGGTGGGGCAGGCATGAGGGGCCCAGAAACTCAAGTTCCCAAGCCCAGGCCTAGAAAATACAGTGACCAGGCGACCTGTGGGGTGGAAGAGAGAGAAGGGCCGGCGGGTACTGCCTCCGAGGAGGGCGTGTCCTGCAGTTGTCTACAGCTGGCCCCTCACGTTCCTTGGATGGGGTGAGTGTCGGTGCTGGTTGGTCCACCCAGAGCCTGAAAGTCAGGGCTCCCAGTGACCCCTTTCCCCAAGACCCAGCCAGGTAGAGCCTCCAGCAGCCACCCGGCACAGAGCCTGGGGCTCAGCACACCTTGCTCCCTGCAGTGCATGCCATGGGGGCCTCCCGTCACCCCAAAATGCGGGAGAGGGCATCACATCCTGGGGTGCTTGGTGCCACCCCCACCCTACATTTCTGACTGGCCTTCTGGGTATTGGGTGGGGCCTGAAACCTACAGTTCTAACCTGAGCTCTCCCTGGGTGCTAACCCCACTTCTGTGGCAGGGCCTCAGGCTGCGGAATGGGACTACTTCTCTTCTGGTTTTAACTGTCTGCACCCCCAAACAAATCAGCAGCCCCAGACATAGCAAGCTTTCACCAGCCTACTGTGCCCTCTTCAAAGTGAGAGGCCCAATGAGAAGGAAAAAGCCAAGATGGCCCACTGAGAAGGAAAAAGCCAAGATGGCACAAGTAACACCAGCAGACATGGCAGACCCAGACGTCCACACAGGCAGGTGCTGCTGCTGCCCTAGAACCAGCCCCACGTGGTCACCACACTCCGCTCCTCGGCCCCTCACACGTTCAACTCCCAGGCGGTGTGGCTTCCCCATCGCTTCCCTTGAAACCTTCCTAAGCCCCAGAGAGGGGGCTCTGCCCGTCTTTCTCAGGGCCTGGCTGGGCTCCAGTCCTTCCTCTATGTCTTCTGTGGAGCGCCTTCAGCATTTGCCCTCAGATACAGTGCACATACTGGCACAGGCACACATGCACACTGCCTGTCAAACACACACCAGTGCCCTCACACACACAGCAGTCCCCTCACACACACACACACAGACGAGTCCTCTCACACACGTCCTCTCACACACATACACGTCCTCTCACACACACAGTCCTCTCACACACACCAGTGCCCTCACACACATAGCAGTCCCCTCACACACAGACACACACACACACAGACGAGTCCTCTCACACACACACACGTCCTCACACACACAGTCCTCTCACACACATAGCAGTCCCCTCACACACACACACACACACACAGACGAGTCCTCTCACACACACACACACACGTCCTCTCACACACAGTCCTCTCACACACACCAGTGCCTCACACACATAGTCCCCTCACACACACACACACACCAGTCCCCTCTCTCTCACACACACACACACACACACACACACACACACACCAGTCCCCTCACACACACACAGGGTCCTCTCTCACACACACCAGTCCCTCACACACACACCAGTCCCCTCACACACACACAAACACCAGTCCCCCCCCACACACACAGGGTCCCCTCACACACACACACGTCCTCTCACACACACCAGTCCCTCACACACACACACGTCCTCTCACACACACAGTCCTCTCTCACACACACCAGTCCCTCACACA